TGGGGAGTGAACTCAGGTCCCCAGGCTTGTAGGGCAAACCCTTTTGGACCACCTCCCACCTCCCCAGCCGAATGGTGGACTTCCTTTTAGGGCTTCAAAGAACAGCCAGGAAGGCCCTCCGGCTGGTCTTGCAGACTGCTTGTCCGGGTTCTGCAGCACAGCATACTGGCTTCTCCATCCTTCAGCTCAGTTAATCTTCCACCCTGGTAAGTAGCTGTTTCTTGTGGATGTGGTTGGGCCTCAGGAATGTAGAATCCAATGCTCAGGAAGTTTCCTTGCAAATCCTCACTGACTTCTATGATCCTACGCTGTGTGTCTGGTAGAGCTGGTTGAGGGTTAAGTGGATGTCTGAAAAACCAAGCAAAGGAGCAAACAGACTTGATCTCCCATCTGATCTCAGATAATTTAACACAGGCCTCTCACCAAAATTCATAAAAACGACGTTCACCCTTCTAACTACATACCTGAGGCTAGCTCCCATTCTATTTTAGTACCCTGCCCTGGGTCGCCTCTGTGCCTTTCCCTTCTTTCCACACAAGGCCTGAAGAAGACTCCACAGCGGTGGTGGTCTTTTTAAGGATATTTTCTGATCAGCTTCAGTTCTAAATGGAGATGGTGGCTCTGTGGTATCTACTGTGAGTCCACGGGTTAAACCGATAATGAGCCTGCCCGGACAAATAGGCCTGCGATTGTTCTAGCCAGGCCAAAGGAGGCGGGCCAAGGGCCAAGTGCAGATGCTGCCGCGAAGCAAGCAGCTGGAAGCCCACAGCGCGGGATTAATGAAATCGCCCGTGCTCAGCTTGCACCAGGAGCTAAAGCGGCTTTGGAAAAGGCATATGGCAAAAAATAAGCCAGAGTTAATCACAAAGTCAGGCGTTCACGAAAGCAGCATCTGTTGGAAAGGAAGCGTACAGCCACCACAGTGGCTTTGCTCCTGCTCCGTCATGCAGGGGGATGTGCCCAGGTGGATTAGCAGGGCGACAAACCACGGCGCTGCAGGCCGCAGGAGGCGCCAGGGCCTGTGACCACTGATGCAGGGGCCTGCTGCAGCCAGCTGTGGCTCTGATTAACTACAGCAGCGTGGGTAGCTCTGGAGCCAGGCTCGCTCTCATTTCCCTTCCACACACGAATCAGCCACTGCCCGGCTGTTGTTGCCTCCCAATTCGACCCGCGCTGCCAGGGATCAACCAGAGCCTGCACGGGAGTGCACAACCTTCTTCAAGCAGCTTTGGCAGGAGGCCAGCATCCTGCTTTGCTCTCCTGTGTTAATAAGGATGGCTCATTTGCTCCAGGTTCTGAGTCCATCAGCGTTGCCGCCACTGAGAGCTCCCAGAGATCAGGAGAACAGGGCCTATGGACAGTCAGAGAGGCACAGTGGCCTGCCTGGAATTTATTCTCAGTTGTTAGCAGACAAACGGCCATGATTTAAAATGTCTTTGGCTGTTCTCAGTCGGGCTGCTTGGCATCTTGCCTGTATTTTCAGAGAGATATTCCGGGCACACTAGTGAATGAGAAGGGGTCACTTATGAAAATAAATTCCCAAGTGACCTACAATGGGCAAACACAAATAGTTTCCTATTTTAATACTATAAAGAGGTCCAATGTTTGGAAGATGCCCGTATGCCTTTGGATGTGGTTAGTGGGCAGAATATGCAAATCTCCCTGGGTCATGTTTTGGACTCAGTGCTCTTTTCTGGAAGGTTACTTGACAGGAATTGAATTGTATCTTGCAACAGTCAAAGACTGGAGCCCTAACTCTTGTTGCTGTGGCATGTGGATATGAAAACTAGTATGTCCAGCCAGCTAAGATCGGGTCAGGCTGAGGCCGGCTGAATCTCCCGAGTAATACAGCTGTGCCCATATAAAAGCGAGCACCAGGACATGGGGAGAATGCCTGTAAAGACTGGAATCATTCTGCCAGGGCACCAGCAGATTCTTGGAGGGAGTTCTGGAACAAGGATGAGGGAGCCGAGGCCCCGGACCTTTCCTCCAACTCAGACTTTTCATCTCAGGAACTTGACACAGTAACAGAATTCCATGCAGCTCTTGTGTGGAACCAGTGCTGCTTAGTAGTGGCAGCCACGGAAGCACAGGCCACACCGAAGGTTGGGAGCTGACAGTGCAGCTCCTGTGTGTGTTTCTGGGTGAGTCAACTCTGCTTACCTCCATGGCATTTTACATTTAAAAGAAAACTCAGGCCAACGTGATGGTTAGGGCTCACTGTCAACTTGGGCAGGATCTAGAATCACCTTAGTGATGGACCCCTGGGAGTGCCTGCCAGGGTTGACTTGATTGCATGAATTGAAGTTGGAAAATCTGTCCACTCCGGGTGGCACCATCCCCTGTCTGGGATCCCCAACTTCATAAACAGAGAAAAGGAACTGAGTCATAGCACCCATTCATCATTTTCTGCTTCCTGGCTGTGGATGCCATGTGGCCAGCTGCTTCATGCTCCTGCCTCTGTGATTCCCATGCTGTGATGGACTGTACACAGAACTATGATCGTGAATGAACCTCCCCCCCCAACCCCGAGTTGCTTATGTTGGAGTATTTATTTTACTGTAGCAACGGGAAAAGAGATTAAGCCAGGCAGCCATGTATTTTGTAAATCAAATGGGTACACGGCCTTCTCCCACTCTCCCTACTCAAATTCGGAAACTTGCTTCATTCTGATGCTGAGGAGAATCCTTCTGCTTTCCTCGAGTAACTGCCACAGCTTTTAATTACATGAGCTGGCAAAAGTGTCCCAGAAGTGACCCTAATCTGCCTGTGCTGTGTATTCCTGTCTCACTGGCTTCAGTTAAAATGGAATCACCTGCTGCTCCTGGCTGCACCTGAGTGGGTGAGGCGGCTCTTTCATGGAGTGGTTTCTGGGGCATAATAGTGATTATTCACATGTGAGGATTTCCTGGGCTAATACATATTAAAACTTAGTTTTAGAACTTTTGCTTTTGTTAGGTAAAGATATGCAAGCAGCAGCAGCTGGCAAATTGAACAAGAATCCACAGCTGCCTTGGGCCAAGGGCATGCTTTGAATTTTTGAATTTGCCTAGTCACAAGAGGAAAGCAAGAGTCATTTCTTCCCATAACTGTACCCTAGTGACATTATTTATAAAGAATGTTTCTCAAACCCAAAGTGTCAAAAAGGCAGGTTGTCAAGGTGTGTCTAACTTTGTTATTGGCGTGCATTAATTGTATAAAACAATGGGTTTCGTTATGACATTTGCGAACATTGGTGTAAGGTACTTTGACCATATTCACCCCCATTACTGTCTCCCCAGCCCCTTCCAGCCACTTCCCGCCTTTCCCCAAAGAGTCTCCCCTCTGCTTTTGTGTCTTTCTTTTAAATCTAGATTCCCCACATAAGAGAAACATTGATATTTTTTTTTTCTGAGTCTGGCTTACTTGGCTTAGCATGACCATCTCTAGTTCTATTTACTTTCAAATGTCATGATTTTGTTGTTCTTAATGTAAATACTCCATTATATACAAATACCATCTTTTCACTATTTATTTATATGTTGATGGACAACTTGTCTGAGCCCACGTCTTGGCTATCATGAACGATGCTGCAGTAAACATAGATGTATATGCCTCCATGAAGTGCTGACATGGGTTCCTTCAAGTGAGTACAGGTAGAGCCTAAGGCAGTCCCATTTTTAATTTTTTTTTTCTCGAGACAGGGTTTCTCTGTGTAGCTTTGTGCCTTTTCTGGAACTCTCTTCTGTAGCCCAGGCTGACCTTGAACTCACAGAAATCCGCCTGCCTCTGCCTCCTGAGTGCTGGGATTAAAGGCGTGCACCACTGCTGCCTGGCCCAGTTTTTA